ATGCCTGGAGTGAGACCAGTCAGCATGCTGTTAGCAGCAGCTAAACTCTCCAGACTAGATGCGCCCATAGGTAGGGGCATATTGGGAGAACCTAATCCTAGAGCCATGCTCGTTAACATATCCAATCCTGTAGGATAGGGTGACGGGAGTGTTGGCGTCGCGGACTTCGAGGATGATTTAGAAGAAGTTGGGAGTACTGGAATGTTTAGTTGAGGCGTTTCAAACTTATGAGGAGATCCCGAGCCTATGGCTGATGACACATTAATAGGTGGAACCCCTGCCGGCCGACTCACCATCTGCTGTAACGTACTCACAGACGGGAAATTGGGGACAGATGTTGTCTGACTGGGCTTGGACACCGGTATAGGTTGAGGGACCGCCAATAATGCGTCAAGGTCCATTTTATCATCATTTTCAGAAGAGCAACCTAACTCGTCGCGTATGAAATGCCACAACAGACCATCACTTTGTTCTCTTGGAAACTTTGCAGTTAAGGTGCATTTCAATTTGTCCAAGTATGTGATATCAGGTTTAAAATTGTCTTTAAAATTAACGAAAGTATCGTCAGAGAATGTAAAATGGTACTTGATACTCTTCCTAATTTGTTCCATGGCATGTGGTGATAGATGACTGTCGTGCACCATGTTGTATTGAAGGAGGAGAGGCCGAGGGTACTCGGTAGGCCTTTGTTCTGGTGGAGGCATCACCCAGAAGAACGTAAGCGACGATTCCAAAACTGGGCTTTCGGGGTTATATGGAGCTGAAAAAGACAAACTAAAGTGAGTTAACAATTCGCAATCAAATTAAAAAAAAACCGTAATACATAGTATTCTACTTACAGCAAATGACTCCAATACACGGAATGTACGATATTTCACTTGGTCCACGCATTTTGATTTGATATTCTAGTTGATTGTCACAATCCCTCAAACTTGGCATAGCAGGGTTAGTTGGGTGAGAGTGGTACCACCCCAGTAGTGTTAGACCCAACTTCTCTATTTCCATCTGTATCTCGAGTTCCACTAAAACGCGAGGTCGGCTGTCGTTCTTACTAATTAAACACGGGAATGTGTGTGTTATCATGACATCTGAAAACACAAGGTGTAAATTAATAAAACTCAATAAATATACTGCCTCGTTAGCTGAATGGTCGCAAGTGCAACTGTCATTTAAGGGGTCTCGAGTTCGAAACCTGGGTAAAGTATTATTAGGTTTTTAAAAAACTTATAGCAATATGCTCACCCCCTATTACATGGTACTCAACATAAATAGTGAAAACTTGGTGTTACATTGTACAGTGGCATTAAGTGCCATACTATGCACCACAACCTACCCCTTCAGGGGTAAAAGGCGAGATGTTATGTTATGTGTTCAATAAATATAAAATAAAAAGTTAGCATCATGTCTATGTATGAGTTATATTTTCATTTTAGGAGGAGTTTATTCTGTGATAATAAAGTAATTGGTAAAATAATAAAGGTAAAATTATCAAAATATTTAAGCATTGTCTTGCCAAGACATTCCCATGCAGAATCTTAATTCTCCCTTCTCCAATGGGAGACAGAAATGAAAGAAAAAGTACTCACTATGATTATTCAAATCCCAAGTGCCAGCTAAGTATCCATAAACTTCTTCCTTCTTCAAATGGCAGTGGATGTCCAGCACAAGGCTAGCATTAGAACTGACTGACACTAAGAAAGGCTGAACTTTCCCGGCTGATGAAAATGATACTGCTTCTATCAACATGTTGGCATCACTGAAATTCAAATTAAATTCGTAATTTTTTACATAACATAACATCACGCCTTTTATCCCCGAAGGGTTAGGCAGAGGTGCAGATTAGGGCAGTTAATGCCGCTGTACAATTTAACACCCACTTTTCACTATTTATGTTATGAGTCCCATGTAACAGGGGGTGAGCCTATCGCAATATACAGGGCACATATCCAGACTCCATGCTGCTTCTGAGGTTTTTACAAACCCAGTAATATTTTGCCCAACTCGGGAATCAAACCCGAGACCCCTTGCCCGACAGTCGCACTTGCGACCACTCGGCCAATGAGGCAGTCATACTTTACTTTTAAAAATATCATCAATTCTATGATAAGTTAGAGAAGAGTTACCAATACCTAAGATTGATTTTAATTCAAGGTAAGTATTAGTTAATGGGGCAACTCAGACCCATGTCAATCTCTAGATGGGACCTTTTAAGTTATTGTACCTACAGATGTAATACCAACCACTAAAAAGGCTAGTAAAATTATGTAGGTATATTTAATGCTTAAGCTAATAAAGAATGAGATTGAATACTAACTGTTGCATCATTCTGTTTGGCACAGTGTTATGTTTCATTACAACCCTCTGTGGTGGGGGCTCAGGAGGGTTTTCCACTTCCATTTCTACTTCCTCTGCAACACAAATATTTTATAAGTAATCAAGCAATTCAATATATTATATTTTATAATAACTACTGTAACATCTACACTAACTTGACCTATATTCGCAATAAATGATTTGAATTTGAATTTGAATTATTAGCCAGAAGACAAAGGCCACCCAATCAAGTTCACAAAAATTAAGTAACTTTAACTAAAACAAGGGTATAAACACTTTTATGACAAGAATTCAAAAATATTTATACTATTTCTAGCAAAATTTTCTTATTCTACTTTACAATAAACCTTACCATCAGTGTGCATATTCTCTCTTTGCAGCTGTTTCTTGCGTAAATATGTGGCTTTAATTGTATCTAGTTTCTTTCCTCTATATTTGACCGATGCCCAGCCACAGCCAGACCTTTTGTCTGGGTTTATTATGCGCTTGCAGTGTATTGCCCAAGCTGATGGTGAACAGAATATGGTTTCAGTCTCATGAGACTTTATCTTACCATCCGGCTGCAAATCTCCAACAAATTTTTGTCCCTGAAATTTAAAGAGAAACAGTATCTAATAAGTAAAAATTCCAATAAAGATTTAAAGAAGCAGATTTAATTAAGAAACTGATGTTAGTATACTCTTATTTGAATTTATTAATTACTAATTTAATATTAGCCAAGTTTCCTTTGTCTCAAAAATTTGTTAGAGTAATGGAAGGAAGCCTTTAGCATACTTACTAGATATTCTATGGTCATAGCTGCAGTGCCTGGCTCAAGCATTTTTTCTTCTAGCAGCATTTGTAAAGTAACTCCTCTACCAGGCATTGACTTACTGCCTGATTGTGCTTCCATTTCCTGAAATTATTGACAATCAGTATTTGAAAGAAATAAAGCAAAGTTTTCTACCATTTATCTTATGAACTCAATAATAACAAGGTATCCTTAGAGGCAGCGTATAACAGTTACAACAGGTACTTACTTCATCAGAGTACTCCTCTCCACTTGCTAGTTCTTCTTTATCTTCTTCTGGCGGGTCTTTCGGTGGTTCATTGGGTTTCTCATTTTTAACTTCGTCATTCGGATTACTAGGTGGGGCAGTTACCGTCGCTATAGCTTCAGCCGACGTGTTATTATACGCTGGACCCGACATTAACGCCGCGGCCAAATGAGAAGTTTGAAGATCCATAATGGACAAATTATAAAATAAAAACTTAATAATTTATCGTTTATAAGCTTCAAGTTCATTTAAACTCCGCAACCATCACGATTTTAAATAGGTATTATAAATAGTTATTCAGCAATTCTACTATTCCAACAATAAATAAATACAACAATAGAGGATGCGTTTACATGACATCTTAATCTCTAAAATGACATATGAATGCATAGATTATACAGTATAACTGGAATATGAATGCGTGTTGCCAATATAACTGATAGAATTACTCATCACTGGAGAACCTTTTACTAATGGAATACAAAATAGAATTTAATCAATAAAGGACAAAAAAGGAAACATTAAATATTCATTTAATGCTAACACATCCATTACTTTAAAAATTCAGGAAAACAATAGTTTATCTTGATAGGAGAGAAGTTAATATGGCAACATATTAGTGACACTACGTCCAGAAATTAGGGGTACGTTGAAAAAATAAAAAAACATTCGATTCGAATACCATTAAATTCGGATAATACCCAGGTAGGTAGATAAATTCATTATAAAATAAGTATTTACCGCAATACCCGCGATTGGTAAGAGGCTTGTTGGTTAAAGATCACAGTAATGTGAGTCAGGTTACCGAAAACTGAGTATCCTCAAATAAACATTTAGCATATTAGCTATCTTCAGACAGTCGATTTCAATATACAGAAAGGCTAGCTAGCGGCGATCACCAATGTAGATAGATGTCTTGTTATAGATCATCAAGCTATACGAGATGCACCTAAAATAAGACACAGTAGGGCGCTATTTTGTGCAATATAAATATGGTAACGTAGCGTATCTATATTATAACAGTCGCCTCCTATTCCGACTTACATGGGACTAGGCATATTGTTAAATAGCCAATTTTTTTGCAAGAAGAAGTACTTCTGGCTACCTGTTCTTGGAACAAGAAGCCATTAATGCATTTTTTGGAGTTATCTACATTAATAGTGATCGTTGTCGAGTGAATTAACTTAATTATAATTAACAAAATCGGTTTTATTACTTTTATAAGGCTTCTTGCTTTAGATTGGACCGATACACATAACCGGTACGATAGGTACCTACCTACAAGATTGAGAACTTGATATCATTTTAGAGGTGCTCTTACAATATTCGATTCAAAAACTTCTAATTAAGTTATGTTTACTGTTTTATATTTTATGAACATATTGTAATTACTAAACGTGATTCGTTGGTGTATAAATAATGATGTAAAAATACTTCATTCATAAATTACAAAGTATCTTAATGTATTGTGTTGCACATAATATGTTCCTGTGTTCATCATAGCACCGTTATTTCTAGAACTGAAAACAGCTACCTCAATATATAAGTATAACTTTTTATTATACCTATCTGTCAGTAATTCTGTAAATGGTAGATTTGAACTATCGATAACTACCAAACATAATTTTGTCTCACCTCTACTCTACTAATGTTATGTCAACCAAAATGGGTGTGAGCGGAGTATTGTGCAGCTGTGTATTATAAATGAATTAATTAATTAGTTCTGCTTGATAAAACGCAGCGAGATCTAGGATTTAGATACCTCTGGCCTTGAAGAATTATTTTCTTTGTGTAATAATTCAAAAATGGCTATGGTTAAAACCCCTGTGCTGAAAGTTATATTGTGTGGTGAATATGGTGTCGGAAAAAGCTCGATTTTTCGTCGATTTATTAACAATACATTTGTTCCTAACTCGGATAGACGTTCTACTTTAGGATTGGATCACTTTGAAAAGCCATATCAACTCACAGACAAAACTGTAAAGGTACCTAATTAAAGTTGTTTATTTTCGTAATAGTAGGTAATCGTAATAATTCTTTGTTATTGTTTATGTAGTAATGATTCATTAACGGTAATTTATTTTCAGTTACAACTTTGGGATACTGGAGGTATGGAAAGAATTGCTTCAGTCACCTCAAGTTACTACAAGTTTGCTGAGGCAGCAATACTTGTGTTTTCTCTTGACAATGCATCCTCATTTCATGTTCTGAGCCAACATTTATTAGACATCGTGACTTACGCAGAAAATGCTAAAATATTCCTATGTGGAAATAAATCAGATTTGGAAGGTTCTTCTCCACAAGTTACTGATGCTGACATTGAAACTTTTTGGTAGGTAACTTGAGTCTTGGATTCTATTATAATTTGTTTGTGTACATAAACAATACTATTGTTTTTTATTGTAGTGAACAGTGCCACAATCTCATCAGCACCACTTATAAAACTTCATGTAAAAATGGAACAGGCATAGAAGAAATGTTCACAGATATCGCAATGCAACTTGTAGAGTCTAATAGATCAAGAATTGAACTGCAAACTTTGGACCACAACAGTTTCAAGATATCAAATCCTGACCCAGTAGATGAGCCATCATGTAGTTGTTGAATCATTTAATTTGTTGCTTTAATTAATTTAATTTGTGTTAAAAGTGTATTATAGTTTTGCATAATAGAATTTGGAAATTATGCTTTAAATATGTGTTTATAGAATTAGATTTAGAGTGAAGTTTTTGTTACAGAATCTCTATTGCTGACAATTTATTATAATTTGTATTTAATGTAGGAATTATCTAATTGTTTGTACAATCCTTACACTGTATTTAGGTGATTCTGTTAACTTAGCTAATATTTGTATTGTTGTATATTTATGAATTACACACAGTATTAAAGTGAAATGGCCTAACAGTATTAGGTTGATCATTCCGAGCCAAGTGAATAATTTCAAAAATTGAAATATTGTATGTATCTATGTGTTTATTTTGAGTAAGTGTACTAGTGTAATGTATTCACTGACTTCAACCATAATTGAAAGATTAAATCATTATACTTATTTTGGCCTATTCAATTTGTATTATTGCTCATAATCCCTGCAAAGACTAGAAAATAATCATAAAATCTGACTTTTTAATGTACTTTATTAACATTTAACAAAAATAAGCAGTTTTTCTATGTATAACACTAACTATATTGGAATTAAACATTGACTTCATAAAATCTAAACTGTTTTTATTTTAATAATGTGCATTTATAACATAATAATATCATATTTTCTTTTATACATTTTATACTCATGCAATATGTTTAAGATGGAACAGCGAAGGAAACTTGTTCTTTATCAGCATATCACACCTCCATTAGTGTTATTTTTATGATATTGTGCAATCAGTAAACTTGTTTTGAAGGTCAAGGTCAAAAAGTATTATTACTTATTGCAATGTAGTTGCAAAATTCTTAATTTATATTATTAAATGGTCTTATACATAACTAATTACAGGAACATAAAAACAAGTGATAACACAATATCTAACTATTTTTACTTAATTTTATTACTGTTTATAGGTCAAAGAAACAAAGCTGTTTGTGATATACTTACGTATTCTATGTTTATGTAAAATAATATTTAATACAACAGGCTAAGAATATAATATTAGGATTGCAACATTGATCCATTTCTTACCAAGACGGTCACTTAAACATTTACATTCCACACATAAAATTATCCAACATTTCATTATAATGACCAGATCTTTTCCTTACTTCCTGTCACAATATCACCTAATCTAATCACGGAACAGAAACTTTAATACAAATACTCAATGACGTTTTAATGCTGTGACCATTGAATAGTTTTGATGTCTACTCCCTCTTGCACCATCTCCCACAGTGGGCTCATTTCTCTTAGGCGTTCTACGTGTTTGATTGTTTTTTCAGCTGTGTAATCTACTTCTTCTACTGTTGTAAATCTTCCAAATCCAAATCTGTGAAAAGTTTATTTAATTTTTTTATTTCTCCAAAATTATTACATTGTAGTGGGTAGTCCATAATTTTGTTGAATATTGTTTTACTTGGGCACATACAATCCACATTATGCACAATTAAAGCCACCATGTTAACATTGATAATTTTGAAGATTAAAACTTCTCAGTAATATTATTAAACTGTCAAACACCAAGCGGTCACCGGTGACCGCAACCTATTGTTCTATAATTGTGTCTACAAAACCGGTACTCGACGAGTTAAAGGAATAAAAGGCCATATATATATATAAAAAAGGTGGTTATTACCTAATAGAACTGTGTGCCAAATCTTCATCTGTTCCAATTGCGCGCAATACGTATGATGGTTCTAGCGAAGCCGAGGTACAAGCAGAGCCACTCGATAACGCAATATCCTTTAGAGCCATTAGCAACGATTCACCTAAAAGTGAAAACAACATGAACAGTTGACCTTATCCAATGTACATACATTTATAAACAATACTGATAACACTATTTTATTATATTACTTTTTAATTGCCACTACAGTAGAACCAATATAAATAATCTTATCTATATTACCTTCTACGTAAGCAAATGACAAATTGATACAGCCAGGGTATGTCTTTTCTGCATCTCCATTCCTAATGACATGAGTTAGTTTTGAATAGATCTTGTCCAAGAATCTCTGTGACAACTTTTCCATCCATGCATGATCATATGCCATTTCTTGCTTTGCTATATCACATGCTGCACCTATAATACAAAAGGTTATATGTAGATTAGTGAAAGAACTTATATTACACATTGTATCAACTATATATAGTTAAACTTTATGCATTACCGAGTCCTACAACAAGTGGGGTTGGAACTGTACCACTGCGCATTCCTCTCTCTTGTCCGCCTCCACTTTGAATGGGCTCAACTCGCACTCTAGGCCTCCGCCGTATGTACAACGCACCAACACCCTTTGGTCCATATACCTTGTGCCCAGATATGGACATCAAATCAATGTTCATTTTATTGACATCAATGGGAACTTTTCCTAATGCTTGGGCTGCATCCGTATGAAAATAAACCTTTTTGCTTTTACACAATGCACCTATTTCAGCAATAGGTTGCATAACACCTGAAAAAAAAACATTTATAAAATATAAATTCATTTTATAGCAAAAAAGAAACATATTACCAAGGAACATTGATTGATACCGAAATATGTAAAAATTGAAGACTGAAATTATAAATACATTTTGTTTATTACATATAACTAACATTTCGAATTTTTAGCATTCTGGATCATAGTAATTTTGAGCTTAGGCCAAATCTAATTTTAGACAAAAATAAACTGGCCAAATACTTAAAGTAAAATACTTAAATAAAATACTGCTTTTACCTATTTCATTGTTAACCGTCATAATGGAAACCAAACTAGTTTCTGGTGTGAGAGCTTTTTCCAGTTCTTTCATGTCTATGATTCCATTTTCCTTAACTGGCAAATATGTGATTTTGAATCCTTCTCCTTCTAAAGCTCTGCATGAGTCCAACACACACTTATGTTCCTGAAATTCATAATATGATAATTTTTAATATTGGCTAGTAGATTTTACTAGAATACCAGAGTTCTGGCAGTTACTAGAAGTAACACCAACACTTACAATTTGTGTGGTTACAACATGCTTCTTCCGGGATCCATAGAACCTGGCCACTCCTTTTACTGATATGTTATTTGACTCTGTTGCTCCTGAAGTGAATATTATTTCTTTTGGATCAGCTCCAATTAAATCTGCCACTTGTTCTCTGGCTTTCTCAACCGCTGCCTCACTCTCCCACCCATAAGCGTGAGTCCTGGAGTGTGGGTTTCCATGATAACTCACAAGATATGGTAGCATGGCGTCAAGCACTCTCGGATCCTTAAAAAAGTATTTTCATTAAATATCAATGACTCCATTACAATTGTTCCTATTCAGTCATTTGTTATGGTAACTTACAATTGGTGTTGTGGCTTGAGCATCAAAATATAACGGTCGCCCAAAGTCTTCATGTTGAACAGCAAACTTGCCGGTTGATGCAGCTGTAATAACAATACCATACAGAGGTTGCAAAAATCCTTGAATTAAATTAGTATATTTAAATTGTTATTACAACAGTGTTTACGTATTTTTATCTTATTGGTCACTTGTATGTGCATAACAAGACACCACGCGACCGTTTCGGTATAATGGAGATCAATATGATTGTCGGTATTAGTGTAATTGTTTTTATTGTTATGAAATTATATAATTTTACTAATACGGTTTATTGTGATGGGTTTATCAACAAAAAGATCTATTACCCACATATAATAAATATTTCGATCAAGTGCTGAGTGCAAAATTCCTATAAGATTGTCGGAAACTTTTTGTTTTGTTTACTTACTTGTATCTGAAAGTAACCTTTGTCCATGGAAAAAAACTAATATACTTGGATTTTGAGATTGATTAGTTCTTTTTAATAACGTTTTCGTTACCGCAGGTATTATATTTTTAGATAAACGGATCATTTTGCAATTTTTTGATCGATTTTATAACTTTCTATTGACAAGTCTGACAACTGACAAGACAAATGTGAAATGTCAGTTGAATACTTTTTATGTACCATTCCTTGTCACACAAAACAACACATGACATAAACGGAGCATGAGATTGTGTAAATTGTTTGAATAGCATGGCAACACTTGACGAAGCCTTATCTACCTTCATCTTCTACTTGTTCAGAATTTAGTTGTTAACATTGTTTCGAAATGTGACTAGAAAAACCTTAAACGAATGTTTGATTGACTTAACAATGTAATAACCAGCCCTGTTTATTTATTAAAGAAAATCAACGAGGGCGCCACAGGTCGTTAGTACCAACCAAATAAAATCGAAAACTAACCTATAAATGTACAAAGTAAGTTCTTGTTCTATTGAAAATCACTATATACTGGAAATACTATCAGTCGAGCTCAACTTTGAATTCTTTTTTTGCATGTTTTAAACTGTCAAACACCAAGCGGTCACCGGTGACCGCAACCTATTGTTCTATAATTGTGTCTGCAAAACCGGTACTCGACGAGTTAATAAACTTCTCTTAAGTTTTATTCCCTTCGCAAAATAAACTTGATCACAGCTGATGACATTCAACATACTTTCATGGAGTAACTTTTTCAAACATTCGTCATCATACAAATGGACAAACTGTAACTAGCAATACTGATCATCTATGTCAATGTTATTGATGTCATCGAAACTGTCAACTGTCAGTGTGTGTCATGGCATGGCATTTTTTTTGTTTTGTGAACACAACAACTCACAAGTCACAATATTTTATTACATTGAAAATAATTGTTTGTAATTAAAATGGTTTATTTACATTTCCCTTCTAATTTAACTGAAGAAGAGTTAATGCTACAAGCTAAATATCAAAAGCTGAAAAAGAAAAAGAAGGCTTTGCAAGCACTAAAAGCGCCCAAACAAGAACCTGAAAAGCCCATATTACCAAAGCGGCCTACCGAAGCGCGGGATGCTCGAGAAATTGCACGCAAATTAATAAAGAGTGGAGCTATTCAAGCTATCAAGAGTCCGCCACCACAGCCACAGAATGCTACGTTCAAGCGCCCTAGGGCAGGTGCGTTCAGTGCGTATAAATTGTTTGTGTCTCCGGAAATATCAGAAATTGTCAGAAACTTATTATAACAAAAAGTAATTAATAAATTCAAATTCAATATAAATACTGGGTGTTAATGAACTATTTCAGGCAGGGAGAGGAAGCTGAGTGGATCTGCTAGTGCTGCGGGAGGTGTGGCGTCCTACCAACCATTCAGTGCTTCTCAGGAACCACCACCTCCTGAAGAGAAGCAGACTCCCCGTGTCAAGTATCTTTATGACTCATTTGTGACTGCCAGAGAGAAGTAAGTATATCTTAAAATCTATTTATTGACAGCAATACACCTAGTTGTGCAATAATTTATTATTGCTTGAGTTTCTTTAGAAACAAAGGTATTTACTTAACAAAAATAAAATACCAAAAACCATATTAAAATATCTAAAAATAATGACACTCATTACTTTTCTAGCTAATTAATATTATATTCAAGTCAATACAAATATAATGTCACAACCTTACCTTATACAATGCTTCTTTGCCTGTACCTATGTAAGTACATCTATTTTCTTTATAAAAATTTCTTTCCAACACAACACACACACACACACACACACACACACACACACACACACACACACACACACACACACACACCACACACATCCGCATGCAAGCACACACATGCACACGACCACTCAAACGTTCATGCTCATACTTCATCATACATGAGATCAATTTTCTTTATATTCTTATGCAACTGATAATATTAGAAATATTAGGAGGTATTTTAGGTATATTAAGTTGATTAGGAGTAATAATAACTAACTGGCTTGCTGTTATACGTGTCGTTGTATTGAAATCTCATATGTTCACTGGAACCTTTAGACCAAAGCTAAAATGTTGGACTTGGCTCCGGAACTACTTCGGCACGTACCACTGGTTGATTAAATCTAGAAAAGCATGATTTTATCGGCCGAATCACAATCACTGTCTCTTATAATACAGGTTCCCCTAGTGTAAGAGACAGGGTTTTACAGTGTCTGCGCATAGATTTATGTCTTTTAGATTTTAAGATTTGCAATCATGTATTTATATCTATGTATGTTTGGTGGTAAATAAACTATTATTATTATTATTATTATTATAGTTTCCATCCCTCTGCAATTTGATAAGACAGTGTACTTATCTAATAATTAATCTTCTACATTTTATTTCAGTCCTCGAGATGAGAAGTCACCTCGTACTCCTCAGCCTGCTGGCAGTGAGACACCAGGTCCACCACCTCCTACTGGAAGCAGGAGTTCAGTACTCCTGGTGGTAGGTGCACGCATCTCAGAGGAAACCATCAGAAGAAGGCTGGCCACTTATGAACCTTTCTCGTTTACACAAGAACCTGATGATGATAAGTGAGTATAAAAGTTTTATTAAGAAGGATCCTTTGGTTAACAAACAAATGTACCTGTTATCGTTTTTTAATGGATGTAATTAGTTATAATAATTAAGACTGGCCAAGACTCCATGTAGGTACAGCATCAAAATAAAAACTCAAGAAGAATATAGACAATAATAAAATGGAGAATGGATTGGAATAAAGAAATCTAAAACTCGGTCTGACCTGGCGTCGACACCAAAACCTCTTATGATCAACCGCCTAGTGGTTGCAACCACTTGATCAGTAAGGCAAGAATAATTTAAACTTTTCTCATGTTCTAGAGCATTCCTGTCGTTTGAAACACCGGAGATCGCATCTCAAGCTCTGACATCCTTGGATGGTTTGGAGGACGGATGGCGTATCTCAATAGCGCGCGGCCGACCACCTACGCAGGCGCCGGGTTGGACACCGTCACCTTCACCGCGTAACCCACCAGCACCTAAGGACGCTAAACGGACTCTTCTCACATACGACGATATCTTTGATTAAGTTACTTATCTTTTTAATGTAATATAAGTGTACAGTTACTAGATATATTTTTAGATTAAAGGGTAAAGTATAATTCCTTTTTTTTTTCTTTAGACGTGACCCATTTGCTACGATTTTTTTCTGTTTGTTTCTACTCTTTTGTCGTATGTGCCTCGACATATCGTAGGTAAACAAATAATCTACAAACAACATATCTTGCCATTCAAACCCACTAACAAATTTATACGTACAGGAATTGAACCCGCGAAACGCTGCATAACAGTTGGTTGTCCAGCTAGCCACTGTACCCACCTTGGTTTCAATCAATATCATGTTGATAAAGTGCTCTACTTATGATACTCTTTGAGTGCTACTGACCAATATTTATACATATTTACGACGATAAGGATAAGAATTTGTAACACGGCCGTGGTCATTGGAGGTTGAGGTCACAGCGATAGGTAACCAATTAACGCCTAGGTGTGCTATTTAACTGACATAGTTATTTTATACCTATGTACAACACGACAAAATGACCTAAAATCCATGAAATACCTAATTACTTATGTATAAATAAGCTTTTACCTATACACCATTACGAAGCCCCGGAGAACGTAAGGTTACTGCGGCTCCGGATCGAAAAAAAAACCCATACACTATATTAAGAAAGGTACCCTCAAACCTTTGCCGCGGAGGACTTAATGGGTTGCCGGGGCTCTGGCTCGAAGGGCAGGTGTAGGAACCGGGTGGTATTTAGTCAGTAAGAGTCTGACACTCCCTCCAGTCTCACCCAGGCGGGAGAAGTCATTCGATGATTTTCCCCACTTTAAAAAATCCCTCAAGCCTTTCATCTCATGCGAGGTTGTCCACGTTCTACGTATCAGGTGTAATACACTTAACGGTCACAATCACAACACTAATATGAAATGTATAAAAGGCTGTCATGCATAGTACGACACTGGATTTGGTCATTTAAATCCGTGCCTGAAGGTACCTAAGGTATATAAGGAAAATAGGTACATCACTAACCTAATTGGAAATTAGCGCTTAATTTATAAAATAATACAACGACGGGCTTACCTATAAATAATAATACCTTAATATTACCTACAGTATTTATTTACTGTAAGCATGATTTCATGGTATGACATTAATAATTATTTATTTACTAAGTAATATATTGTTTTGTGATTTCTCTTTTGGTTTGTGTCATCGGTATTAGTAACCAAATGAGTCCACAAGTATTATTTATAAAACCTATATGTATACCTACCTATTTAGTGAAATACCAGAAGTTCATTCGAGGTTGAAGGCTTGGCGCAAAAATCAATTTCAGATTGGACTCGGTTATTATATTCGGTGGTTAGGAGACCGATTAGATACTTCACGGGCCTGCGGACGGCGAGCACGGGTGACACAGATGGGGCCCAACAGGGCTAATGCCGATACCGAGCCGCGGAAGACTTAACGGGTTGCCGGGGCTCCGGCTCGAAGTGCAGGAGTAGGAACGGGGTGGTTTTTAGTCAGTAAGAGTCTGACACTCCCTCCCGCCTCACCCAGGCGGGAGAAGTCATTGGATGATTCCCCCTTAAAAAAAAGGAGACCGATTAGAATTATTTAACTGAATATGAAACAGCAGACAAAAATCAAATCGCTGATTTTGGTCATGAAGTCGAAACCCTGGAATGGACTCAGCAGTTCATATTATTATCAACCAACTAGGAAAGTACCTATACATATACATACATCTGTAAACGTAACGCTCCTGAAAAACGCCGACAAGTGATGGTAGGTAAATAAAGTATTTGCATAAAAGTAAGGAATTACCTAAATATTTTAATATTTGTAATCAAGATCTTGCTCAAGACTGATATTGCATGAATAACACGAAAACAGAATCGATTAAAATTATAAAACAATTTCTTTTTCTCAGAGTATCGGAATCGTTCTGTTTACACCGTATGTCAGAAGAGCTATGGGCAAAACTGGTCAAGACATACCACTTAATGGAGCGCACTCGACGTCTATAAACGGCTGTGGCAAGCCAAAATTTGGTGCAACAAATTGGACGATTATAGGGATCAGCTGCAGAAAACTATACACCTAGAGAAACAGAAGGAGGGTAAGAAAACCTGTACCCCGAACTCCGAAGTAATTTGGGTAGGTAGCACGCGGTTGGCCTTTTATTATAGGTACCATAATATAACTATATAGTTATACGTATCAAGTCTTTTTGAGCACCGGAGAGTATTCTTTGACCAGAGTGTAGTCTGTAGTATGATCAGTAATTATCGGGATGCTTAGAAACGAGTCTAGTTGATAGGTATGTACTTACATAAGTTTAAATATTTTCCTATTTAAAAAACGTTTTCAAGGACTATTTTCTAAGCAACAATGTAGTCATATCCACACAAGTCAACAATAATAGGTTATTACTTTATACATAGAAGTTAGTCATGATTTATAATTTATCAATAACAAGAAAATGTAGGGAGTATGTAACTGAAAGTGTTTGTGTTCCTAGTCCCTACGCCGTACGTAGAGGCCGTAGGCAGTAGGCTCTACGCCGTAGTGCTGAGTTTCATATGCATGATCTGATAACTTCCTGCATCCTATATGCACCTACCGATTCCACTTTTCATATCTATACTGGTATAGGTAGGTAGGTAGGTAGGTAGGTACTCAAAGTTTGTACCTATATTTATTAATAAGAGGTACCTTAAAAAGCCCTTTATTGTATACAATAAATACAATTTATTTTATCTCTTATCATTATTTATCACATGACCCATAGAGATGACAGAACCGTTGGTTCAGTGACTGGGTAACAGGTTGCCGCGCAACGTGTCGTGGGTTCGATTCCCGCACGGAGCAACTCTTTGTGTGGTCCACAAATTGTTGTTGGGTCTGACTGTCATGTGTATGTGAATTTGTATGTCTGTAAACGCACCCACGACACAGGAGAAAATTGTAGTGTGGGGATTTATTTCTTTAAAAAATAATAATGCTTAGTTACTAAGATTACAAGTTTTATGTGTGATAAAAATATCAATAAGCTAGGATAAGCTTACCTAGATATTAGCTACATAGGTGGTTTACGAATACTTTATGTCTTACACGTGAGAAAGCCGTAAATAATAATATTTAATTAAGCCTACAGCTTACCATTGATTACCTGCCTATGTTTTATGACAGTTATTAAAAAATAACAACTTCTAAAATTTCGTTATACCTGTCGACTATTTTTATTAAACTGGTTTCGTAGCGAGTTTTATAGGTCGTTGAACTCATCTCGAAGAACATAAATATTAAGATGAATTGTTATTATGCACGAGTTACTCGCAAAAAATGTCGATAGACTACGAATAGATAGATACATTTACATATGTACGTATTGTATGGGTGTGTGTTATATTGTGTATCTAGTAGGTACTTTATGTCGCCGAGAACCTAACGGGTAACCGCCAACCGGGGCTCCGGCTCGACGTGCAGGAGAAGGAACGGGGTGGTTTTTAGTCAGTAAGAGTCTGACACTCCCTCCCGCCTCACCCAGGCGGGAGCAGTAATTTTATGATTTTTCCCCCCTTAAAAAAAAGTAGGTACTTTATATGTAGCTTGATCTGCTTATAGAAACTTTTATAGGTATAGGGTAGTTTCCTAAATTTTATTTTAATGTCCGTTGGTACGTTAATTTATAACTTTAGACACGTATTTTTTCTTTTCTCACAAAATTAAATACTACCTTCGACGATATATTAATTTGAAATATCGTGTATGTTGTAACGTCCTTTCAAAAACTTAGCGCCGTTTTATATAAGCAAGTATTGCAACTTTACGGGAAAATAAAAAAAATGCATGTCTAATATTTTTTCATTACCTAACTGACGGACTAATTAGATTTTTAATTTTGATACCCTGGAAACTACCCAATCACAAAAGTTGCAAATAAAGACTCGTAGTTATGTTCATCTCCATATGTTCGACAAACCAGAAGAATCAAAGTAGTCCATATTGGGTACGGTACCTATTTCCATTTTGAAACTTTTAGTAAGTATTGTTGAGTATACGAATGGGAGCTACATAGGTACCTAGTTTGAAATTTCTGAACGCCAAAATAAATGGCTTCCTTAGGTATTTGCAACTTTGTAGTTTGCTAACGCGCACTAGACGAGCATGCACCTATCACATCTTAGATTGAATTCTTGCTTCGTAGCTATATACTGCTGGTAATTGAATAATGGCTCGGGAATTGAAATATTAAATGCAATTCTTTGCCATTGTGTGCCGATCGTGTGGAGGGCGATGCAATCTTGTCATAGAGTAGATAATTTTAAAAATTGATACAGGTATTATGCCTATCCGTATCAAGGTAAAGTAAAAATTGTAAGTAGCTCACATTATTTAAAAAAATAATCGAATTCTTGCACTCAATGCTTTGTTAATTAATTTTGCCAACATGCATAAACAATGCATAGTTAACTAAGGTTTGCATATTACCTAAGTTCTTACCTTTAGACCTAATAAAATAGAAACTGATTGGTACGCACATGTACGTAAATCAATATTCGCAATGGTATATATAGTATGTATGGAACCGTTTAGGGTATAATTTATTTAAATCACTAGACGATACAGCAAATGAATCACAAATCAGCATCAGAAGATCTATCTACGTTGGATCTTCACTCACCCAAACTATAAATGTTACTAACTTAATAATTGTACATTAAAATCCTATAGGGAAATTAACATATTTAACACGTCGAAAAGTAAGTTGGCGATTACAAAATCTTGTGGCTGCATCCGCCGGTACTTTGGGCGCTGATCTATATATAGGTTTGCTTAGAATCCTAATTAATAATGTCAAACAATTCCTATTTATGTAGGTACCTCTCTTTTCTGTAGGTAGGTACTCTATTTATTAGCACATTTAATTATTGTTCAAACGAGACAGTATAAATAGTTTCTAAATAAGTAGAAACGAACTTCTACCTATGATTAATTTCCTCGGAACAATGTGACCACAGTAGTAATCAATGCATTAGTCATTGCAGTACCGAGTGGGTCGTAGTGTGTGTACCTACGTTCGTATTGACTTGTCCACTGACAGCTTGAATGCACAATATATAAGGCCGCTTCTGTTGACCTTTCATCACATTGTGTTCGTCTATTTTTGTGCCGTAATACGTCGGTTATTCGTTAATTAGCTGTTTAACAATAACTACGTTTATTTCCTTGTATCAATAATTGTTAAACGAAGAAATAATGGGTATAAAGGTAATAAATGTGATTCTGCTAATTGCATTGTCGGCTTGTCTGATACATGCCGTTGCCGGGAAGCCGAACCCGAGAGACAGTTCTGTTGTGGAGGAACAGAGCCTGGGCCCCATCCACGATGAAGATATGGATGTAAAATCGAAAGCAGAAACTACCACAACGCCAGGTATGCAACATTTTTACGCATTTAATTTATTCATTTGTCGGTTTACCAATAGTTGTGTTCTAATTTGTTACGAGTAAACCCTGGCGATTAGCGAATTGTGAGGTTTTGTACTTTGTACCCAAGTACCTAACTGCGAAATTGTTTTCTGTAAAAAGTAAAGAGGTTAGTAGACATAGGTGATCCATGTTAGATATGCAACGCATATTTCGTAACCATCAAAAACAAAGAAGTAGCGACTGCGATAAACCTCTTACCCGGAAGTTTTCATGGTTACCGTTTGTGTAACTGTATTGTAATTATAATAAGTGCCTTAAACGTATCCACCTAGGTATCAACTACCGACCTAAGTATAGAAATATGGGCAATCAGGTTTTTAGTAAATGTAGTTATTTTTATTCGGAATATCTTTGTGAAATAACAATGACTTGCATTTTGTGATTGTATCTGACAAATTTAATAGAGTGATGTAATCAGCAAACATTTTGAGAATAGCAAACATCACGACACTTGGGTTTATAGTCTATCTATTGAAGTCTTATGTTGCATTCTTTAATTGTGAATGTATTTGAAATTTCAGAGTCGAGGATCCCAGGGCGAGTTTCGTGCGATTTTGAAGAAGCCAACGAGGACGCGGTTTGTCAGGAGCATTGTCTACCAAAAGGTTACACATACGGCATTTGCGTTAGTCACACATGTAGTTGCATTTAAATAGCAGTAGTTATTATGTAGTACACAAATATAGATGACGCCAATGATAGATTTTTAAGTTCGTAATAAAACATGTAGTTGTCACACAGTTTTTTATTTTTCTAAATGTAATAGATCTTGAACCATTTCAAAGGTCAGATCACAAGCGTTTCATTAATAATAGTTAACCTTATTCTATCCCTAAGTATAAGTGTAATTAATTTCTAACATTACGACTTGTTTTAACGTCAATTCCCTATATCACATAACTAAACGTTTCCCTCCGAATACTATACACCGAATAAGTACCTACAATAACATTCAATTCAACCATTTCTTGTACAATATCTCCCATACCTTCACTATAGGTAAAATTATTATTCTATTTAGACTTCTCACATATTTCTCGCGCCACTATTTGATTGATTGCTGGTAATTGTGCCTTTGTGTGTACTTTGTCTGAGCAAAGCAAGTTTGCTTCGTCTTTGATATGTGTCCAAGCAAAGTCCACATCTTCTTTCTTCGTTAAACGTGAGCAGATTACAAATCTAATCATATACCTGCCGTTATAACTACCAGCTACCATATAAATCTTTTTCTTTTCGGTTATATTCTCTAGTAATTTTTTCGTTACAATATCTCCTTCTTTTAACCTAAAGCATACTAGTCCCATAGATTGCTCTGGCTCAACCAAAAACCTGTCGTCACTACGTACTAATTTAGCAAAATATTGAGCCAGAGTTATTTGATCCCTCACATGTTTTCTAAGACCTTCCGCACCGTAAATCCTCATAGCTGTCCATAATTTTAGGGCTCTGAATCTGCGACCAAGGGGTATTTGCCAGTGTCGATAGTCAGGAATCTTGTTTTCTGTCTTGATATCGTCCAAATAAATTCTCTGGACGTTAAATGCTCTTACAAGGTCATATCCATTTTTGAGCCACATTGCAGAACAATCAAAAGTAACAGGCATCCATTTGTGCGCATTTACGTCAATAGAATCGGACAATTCGATGCCCCTCATCAAGTGCCTGTACTCGGGACACAAGAATGCTGCTCCTGCGTAGGCGGCATCCACGTGGAGCCACACGTCTGCTTCATTGCACACTGGGCCCAGTTCGTATAATGGGTCAAACGCGCAGGTTCCGGTAGTACCAAGGTTTGCAATAACACAACACGGTATTAGACCTTGAGATATGTCTTCTTCAAATGCATTTTTGAGTGTTTCTCCACGGAGTCTGCCGTCGCTATCCGTCTTTAGTAGACGCATTTTCATAGAGGCCAACAAGCCACCTTTCTCCACTGAAGAGTTACATTGGTCAGATGTATACGCCACTAATTTTGGTTTGATATAATCTTCGTCCAGGGTTGGATCACTTTTGGTGATCCTGCGTACAGTTTTATCTTTAGCTGCTAGGAGTGCCACTAACGTCGCCTCACTTGCGGAGCCCTGTGAGATAAAGAAAATAATAATAATTATTTACAACACATAAATGTCGATCGAGATTTAGGTCCACTTTTATAATGTTCACTAATTAATCAAACAAACCACATTAAAATCAACGAATTTCAATTGTGTTACATTAATTGAATGAAGTCTTTAACAAATTTATTTTTTCTTTAAAATAAATTATATTTATCTTATGAATTAGGATTTACCTGAATAATACCTCCACCAGGCCCACTGGAACAATGCAGGAATTCTTCAGGTAGTCCGAGCAGTTTCCCCAACCAATTCAAAGTTAGAACTTCGAGTTCAGTGCACGCTGGACTCGACAGCTAAAAAAAATCAGTTCATTAGACAAAAAGATAAATGTTAATAACATTCATTAGTGTGAAACTATCACTTTGAATTTACTATCACAATATAAAGAGAAAAAAAAATTATGGCTTACCCAACTCAGTCCAATGACAGACAGGCCATCACATAATATGTTTCCTACGATGCTTGCATAAGATGAACCGGTCGGGTAAAAAGCGTGGAACTGTGGAGACTGCCAGTGCGTAATCTAGAAGAATATTATTATGAAATACGATTGCAGTTGCATATTACAAATATGTTATTGCAAAGTCTAAAGAGAATGATAATACCTAGTATACTAATCTGATAACACTTTGAAGAATTCTTATTTATATTTAATTCTGGTTTATATAAACCATATGACAAGATTGATAAGAGTAAGTACAGGATTATGTAGGAACGGAGTGGTTATTAGTCAGTAAGAATCTGATACTCCCTCTCGCTTCCCCCCTCAAAAAGCTTGATAAAAGTAAAGTAATTTTGAAAAACACATGTTAGAAAAAGAAATATAAATTAACGTGGGTAAGATTGTTATTATATTACAGCAACTATTAGGTAAGTATATGATTTGATAATGAAATAGTTTTAAGAACTGTTTTACACTAGGCATTATCCAATTATCTTTCGTATTGATCTTAACTTATTTGCCCTAGATAAATCAAAGGTAGCAAAGAAAATATTTTTGTATGTAGGTACACTTACGCCAGGCATAATAGTTTGGTTGAAGTCTTTCAGGATGTCTTGCCAGGCCTCTGGGTGTTCCGGAGCATCTTGAGGTAACGCATTTATTAGGTAGCCAGGCTCCACTGATGGTAGGACATCGCTGTAGGTAAAATTGTATCATTTTTGTTAGGGGTTCCAGTTCCAACAGAGTTTTATAATTATCTAAATTTAGTATATACATGGATAGGTCATTAATTATATATTGAAACAACTAAACGGTTGCTATACTACTTAAAATATTCAAGTCACACTAAACAGTTAAGACCGCATCGTAAAATTAGATTTCGTCATTTATTTAACTGAAAATAAATTGTATAGTTGCTTTTCACACAGCTTTTGAAGATAAATAGCAGGTATACACATCATTCCACTTTAGTGGTATCTTAGTTATAGTTTTGTCACTACAAATTCTTTGTAAAATGACAGAGCTGGCACGATATTTAAGTACAATTTAAAACTGAGTAGCCTTTCAGTATTCGGGTGATAATGCCAATGAGCATCCCATTATTATTCTTAATTTTTTTGATAAAGTAGTTATGTATTATGTGATTGAAATTACGAAATGTCGCGTCTTATCAGTGCGCATGTATCTAAGTATATTTATTAAACTGAAGCATTAGTTCGTTTCGTCTGACAGTATTCAGTGGTCAAATGTATTAAACTGAAGTCGCTTCAAACCACAATAATTTTAGCTTCGAGGCAAAATTTATAATTATTGTGTGAGGTTTATGCCTAAATCAAATTAAGTATGTATTCAGGTTCTAAAAGTTTAATTGCATCTTATAATAAGTATTACAATTCGAACAATTAACTGTCGATTTTAAACTGGAAAGTTAATCACGCTAAAGGATCATTTAGGTACTTTTATTTCGTGCAGTTAAGTAAAGTCCTAATTTAAAATATTCAAAGCAGACACAAAGGTTTATTTGGTTGAACAATGGAAGGAAAAATCTGTGAAGACGTTCCTACTCGTTGGTGTTTTTATGTCTATGGAATAATTGTTTAATGACGGAATGTTTCGTGTCTATAGTATTTTTTACGATTATCTTGCAGAATCTACCGATGACTAGGCATGGCAGTGTGCGTCGTACTAATTAAATTTAATTGCTATTACTAAATAGGTACACAATAAAGTCTGAAAGAAAAAATATTGTAGGTATTAACTACAGATGTATTTGTATTATCTGTTTTACTACCTAGGGGTTCGTAACTTCAGAGGGCTTAACTCTTGAATGCCATCGATCGACATTGGTATGGTAAAATTTCGTACTATTGAGTTGCAATACTAGAAGCCATTGTATCCGTGTTGCCTGGATATTTTTGAACTTTATGGTATTTAGTTTGGATTTATATTCCGTACTCTGAATGCTATTTTAACACCTAGGTACGATAAGGGTTGTATAGTTTTAACATTGAATATTATTGAAATTTTATTAGATTGAAATTGCATTGACATTGAGATTGGTTTCAAGAGTAAGCATCTATGTTGGAGTCGCGATCCTATCGAGTTCCTGCACACCAACACTTCTAGGTTCATTTATTTCTATCTTTATTTGCATTATTATTACACCTATATAAAAGTCATTATTATATGCGGTCGAAGTCGCGGGGAACAGCTAATATTTGTATAACATGATTTACCACCTAGGGGATTGTATTACTAGATACAATTAGGATTATTTTCAAATTAATTACTTAATATGTATTGCTGATTTGGTTGAAAGTGAGGGCAACTATCTTATGTACAAGGTGGGGTTCGATTTTCAGGACAAACAATGTTCCTATACCTACATAATAAGTGTTAAATTTTGTCACTGTATCCAACAGGTAGGTATACAACTTTTCGAAATATTTTGTTCATAAATTTTAAAATGTTTTGATCTGCAAAGTTTGATAAGAGTTTCTAGTTTTTAAATTTAAATTAAGTACCTAAGTAAGTATTTTTAGATTGCATCTTGAAAGTGCATACAATTATTTAAAATATTGTTTGTGAAAAGATAACTTTTATGATAACCGTAATGATACATACATTACAGTAAACAAGACAGTAAAAATGTTTATATTTACTTACTAAAATGTCACTGTTGCATTATATTTAATTATTTAATCTTGAATACTAAGTATTATGTAATTGTAAATTCGTAGCTTACGTTTACCTACCTATTGAAAATACTCAGCATTAGTTTACATTTACATTTCGTTTGTCATAAATCGATGGTATTTAGGCTCGGTACGTAAATTATCTATTTAAATAGGCAGGTATACCTACACCTATTTAAATAGATAATTTAATTATAGAGTAATAGTAAGTAAAAGTGGATTATGTATTGTTTTAGTAGAATAAGAATTTTTATCCCCTTCAGAATTTATTTACTATTAGGCATTCAGGTTTCTTTTCACAAATCTATCTGCAAGAATATATTGTAAGAACTAGGTACGAATCCTATGATTGAAAACTATGATTGCAAAACTTTCAATTAAATTTTTATGGAACTCCAATTATGAAGGTCTATCAGATTCAGATATTTAGGTATTAAATTTATTTTAGTTATTGCCTAATGCTGTAAAATTCTTTGTACAGATCTCAGGAATTGTTTGTTGAAATAAATAAGTAATCAAAAAAGTAATATGGTTGTTAGAGTAGTTTTTGAGTAGTCCATTATTTTATTAAAATAGTTGATAAAACGACATTATTTATAAACTATTTAGATAAAATGAAATCTTAAAATTGACTTGAAAGATAAATCTAGAAATAGGTACCTAGATCCTAGGTCTTGATTGAGATAATCACATATCGCAAAATCTAATCAATTTTGAAAAATTTGGTACTTACTGATCTCTGATGTTTTCGACATAATCGGCCATGAGGTCGATGGCCGCTTTGCCAAATTCCCGAAATTGTTGCGCGTCCATTTTATTTTACACCACTGGCACTTTTCTAATACATAAAAATGAAACTTTTTTTAAAGGGTTAGTTTTATAGACTTGTTTGAACTTGATTGTAAGATAATTTACATAAACAATGTTGAAGGAGGAGTTGAAATGACACTTGAAGTTGAGAGGACGATCAGTGAGACAATGGTAGTAGCGAGTGGCGTGAGGTGGATTTATAGGCGCAGATCAGCTTTCTACAGCAGCGAGCCGAGGTACTCGCGGACTTGGTAATAATACTGGGAATCACAAGACGCGGAGCCGTGCTCACTACCGTCTGAGATGCGCGAAAAATTTAACAGGACCGGTCCACTCTTTTGAACGACACCGACATTATTTACATACATTTTGCCGTGTGAATGCTCTTGATGATTTTTTAAAAAAGTGATATTTATAAATATAGGACACTGAATTAATATTAATATCTAACAGCATGTCTTTAAAATAAAATGTCAGTTATTCACTTGTTTCTAAGACAGTGTTAACGGTTAAAGTGTTAAAGTTCTCAATGGTAGATGAAGGCTTGTTGCTTGCTGTGGAGATGACAATAACATGTTTTCTCAGAGTCTGCCTCTAACAATGTAAGAAGCAAGTCAATTATGTTTCTTATTTAAATATATTAAACAGAAAGTGTTGACAAAAGCAGAAAGTTTTAGTCTCAATTATGACATCATTATGAGACCTAGTATTAAATAGGTAGGTACGTGTTCATTTAGAAAATAATAAGTAGGTACTAAACTACATGCTTATGTTCTATTTAAAGACTTCTTTTGGTGTCAGTAAAGTACCAAAGGGGAGTAAATTCCTTTGCTAGCAGGTTTTATTAAACTAAATAAAAACGTGTTTCTGTTTTTTTTTCGCCAATATTTAGTCGAAAGTCGTGACTCGAATTTCTCCTTTAAAGCGTTGATTGATCGAATTAAAGTAAACCTGTTTAGTAAATTAAAGCATTACATTGTGAATCCGATGATTATTCCGATTGATGTTTATGATTGGAAGATAAAATTGTTAATTACTTTCCGGGATTTCAGCCTTATGTGTATGAACATAACATTTATTTTGGTTATATTTTTAAATATAATTCGCGGGCCTCTTACAGACGCTGGCTGGTAACGTCTCTGGCGGCCGGTTTTAAATTTAAAAATAAATTGATTTCAACCATTTTGTTACCACAACTTGATTTATAAAGCGAAATAGTGAATGTATTTGTATTTTTTCTTCCTTATAGACCCATGTGAGCAGAATTATTGTAAAAGGTGAAGGCCACTATGCACGCGTTTTACTGCACTTGGTGAATTTAACCGGCTGGTTAGATTTGTTCGTTCAAGTTCAAAGATATACTTTATTGTACGCTAAAATGTATACGTTTAGTTGAATTCATTGTTACTTTGGTGCTTCAAACTTAGTGTTATGGTCAAGTCGGCGATTAATGGTGAATAGACGAGCTATTAATTGTATATAAAACGGTATCTTGGCATTATAAAACATAACATGATATCATCACATCTGGTTTCGTAAGCTGATGTTAGTAGAGCTGCAGTTCAGTCAATTTCCCAAGTTAATTCTAAGACTTGGGTTGGTAATATATTTTAAGGAATCGATGGCAAACGCGTAAATCTATCTCCTGGATTTATTGAGACCTAGCTGAACCGGCAAACTAAAAAAAAATCTAACTTTATGAACCTTTCCTGGACTTCCACGAACATTTCAAGACTAAGATTAACCAAATCGGTTCAGCCATTTTCGAGGTTTAGTGCGACTAACAAACAGAAATTCATTTTTATTCCTATAGATTTCTGGGGCTTAAACCCAGGATTTCCTACAATTTTTGTTATTAGTCAGATAGAGGATGGTAAGCAGACTGCATGTAAATATGTCTGTGAAAGCATTGAGGAACAATAGTATGACCCAGTTTTTATAAAGTATAGGTTTCCGTGTATTATGGCGTCTGCCATGACCGGTCATCAGGCGGCGTGCCGGCTGAGTGGCGCGGTCAAGGCGGCAGGCGAGGCGGCGCGCGCGCATCATCGCTGCACGCTTCCGATGCGCTTGCGCATCATTGAACGTGCGCCCCAGCTAATACTTCCGTCAAATACGGATGGTTCGTGTGAAAAAATGAATGAACTCTTTTGTTGTGTATATATAATTGGTGAGTAAAACGATATACATGAATGAAAGTAAATAAATGTACAAAAGAATACAATTTATTAGGAACAATATTAAACAGTAAATTTCTAAAACAAACGTACATTAGAAAAATATTAACAGGAAGAAGTAGATAAGATTTGTGAAGTTCCTAGGTAAATGAATAAAATAACTCAGGAACCAAAACTAAATATTTGAACAGACAGCAAAACAATGCTGTAAGTATTTTAGTAGGTATTTGTATTGCATTAACAAACAAATAAATGATACCTGCTATTAAAATAAAGCTGTTAAAAATGAGTACCAAAATATCATCATTATGACTTTAAAACTAACTAAAAGGAACTATACCTACTTATGTATATAAAATTATAAATAGGTACAGAATAAAATTAATTAAACTAAACACACAAACAAGGATAAATAAAACGCGATTGACGTGCAATTGTTCAGTGTTATATAACACTGAACAATTGCACGCAATTGCATTATATATAAATAGACAATAAATTAAATATTATAATGAAATAGATTTATGAAATATTATAAATAATTAGAAATCTACGTAAAACGAACAAAAATCGTATTGCCACGTGTAACTTATTGCCCTAGAACAACTTGTGTTTTTGCTGTTTGGAAATATCCACCTTTATCAAATTCAATAATTCTGCATAAGAGCAACAAGCAAAATCTTTAAAAACATACTTTAATCAAAAACTCCTAACTCCGTCTTTGAGAGTCATTTAACAAATTAATTCACTTGAGATTATTTTATGGAATGACGTATCACCTGATGGTAAGCCACCGGCGTCGCCCATGAACACCCGCAACATCAGAATGTGTTACCAACCTTTTGGGGATTAGGAATTTGAAGATTGTTAGGAATTTGGAAATTGGGGAGATTGGAGATTGGGCCTCCGGTAACCTTACTTATATGAAGAAACAACGCAATTGTTGTTTCAAGTCAGTTTTCTGTGAGGCCATGGTATCACTCCGGTCGAGCCGGCCCATTCGTGCCGAAGCATGACTCTCTCTCCCACACTTAGAAAATAATTCTGAGAATATGTGCTTGTGATATTGGTAATATTAGTCCTTGACCAACTAGGGAGTTGCTAATAAATGTTAAATTAATTTCAGGTTGAGTAAGTACTAGCTATTTGTTGATATTTTTCTGAGACTAAGAATATTTGAATTCCCAGGACCCTGTACTTCTACATACAACAAACAACTAAAGTATTATCTTGATTGAATATCTCGGGCTATAAGTCTACGAAATAGTTACATATATAGGTATCAAAATTTTAAGTAAAGTAAAAAGGTACGGTGTGCGAACATTTAACGACTAATTTACTCGTACTCGATACTGGTTTCTGGCAGCAATAAAAATATAGGTACCTACGTCATAACAAAAAGTACCTATATACATACATACAAACATACCATGACAATTATAAAGCTTACTAGAAAAAAAAGTATTTTAACTGGTTTTGATATTAATGAATTGCCGTTTTGTACTCGTTTGCACTGTACTATCAACTGGACATTCGAATATTTTGAATTCTGTGGACGTATTTTGAACGTGTGTGTAAAGGTTAACGGGATGAAATATTGGGATATGTATGCTTCTAATCGTCATTGAGATATTTATATTTTATCTCGATATATCCACTGTGGTGCTCACTTAAGTAAGTTATTCAATCGAAGCTATTTTACGAAAGAAGTATTTAGTTAAAAGTTTTTTCGTTAAATAATCATAAATATGAGGTTTCTGGCCAACGTGCGGTTGTTGTAGGTGTAAAAAGTTGTGCATATTAATTCATTCACGTGGGCATTCAAATTCAGTGGATTCGACAAAGAATATTCTATATGTGCGAATATCTAAGCCACAATCTGAAGTTAATGAAATAGAGTATTTGTCAGGCTTATTTTTAGCTGGAAGAGTAACTGGTAACGCCAGTATGGCATTCGTGTGATGATACATTGTGACGCGTTCAATGCGCGGTATCAGCGACCGCGATGTGATCCTGAATGTACTGCTGCTTCGAAGAATATGATTCACGTCACTCATGTTAGTTCCGCCCTCCTCCAACAGCATCGTGAGAACTATTTTACCAGTCGCTGAATCTAAAAGTAACAGACAATAAGCATATTTTCTTTAATAAAGATATCTAAGCAAGGGTATAAAAGACAAGTAAACATACCGATCAAGCGATCAAAGATTTGAATCATAGTGCTGGAGGCATGCTCTAGTAATGCATACCGCACAGCCTTTAGCATGAGGTCGACACGATGAGGTATCATTACGATGGTAGTTCTATAACACTCGCATGCCTCTCCGCAGCTGCAGGGATCCATCGGCCACGTGTGCACTTTAGTTTGCAGGCTGTCTATAGGAATATCCCAGCGAGGTTGCGTTGTTACCTTTATGAAAAATTGTCCCACGTCGCTTGAGAACCAAATCCATGTGTTCCCTACCTGGACACTGAGACATGCCATTTGCAAATATAACTTGTGATCACCCAATTCTAGCCCTTGCTCCTTTGGTGAACCGGTCAATGTTACTTCTTTTTCAATTAGGTTTAGTCGACGAATAAAAAATTTTGGTTTATAGGATTCTTCAAAATTAACTGGAATTGATGGTTCCACATCTGTGATATATAACTGAAATAAATGTGGACCTAAAAATGGTGAAGAAGCCGACACATCCACTTTTACTGGTCGGTATAGGGGTCCAGAGACTTTGCACTTTCTTACTGGGGTTAATAACCCAACTTGACCGTATAGCATAAACACAAGATATGTATCGAAGATTCGTGTCTTATTGTAACCATGTACTAAAAGGATACAATTTTTATCAGACACAAAATTTGCAGTATACTTAACAGTTAAGAACATTTTTTTTCCATTGTCTGCTGCAGATTTTTCAACGGAAAAGTTATTTCCAGTGTTGTTTAGCAATATAAAGCTAAATGTAAGTGATTCTTGACTGGTTGGACTTATTGCAACTTGTCGTGACGAACTTCTTAGTAGTGGTGGGCGAAAATGGATGACTTGTTTTGTTTTAAATGTAGGTAAAATGACAAACAGGTGTATAGATAAAAACAACATCTGTATAAAATTTGGTTCAAAGAAGTCTTCAGTTGATAGGGGAAAATAAAGTCTAAGTATGTTGATTGCCTCAATAATAATGCAGGCGTTATTGATAATATCGCCTTCTCTACTGGCCTCGTGTATTTCACAAAAGGCTGAAAAATTATCAGTCAAAAATGGACAAAAATGTGTTATCGCTGACGCTAGAGCGATTCCATCGGATAAATCTGTAGTTAGATTGACAATTTGTTTAATTGGTTTATTTTTCCCGATAAGCAGTTGTTGTTTTAACATAATCTGTTCATTATACCAGTCAAGTAGTATTCCGATTATGTCCCTTGGTATAGTGGTAACACAAACACAATCAAAGAAGCAACTGTCCATAACGAAGACTTTGTAACTTTGTAAAATGAAGTCGATCCAACTTTGTTTATTTAATCTGTTGAATAAGTTTACATCTGAGAGTAATTGTTGGGTAAGCAGCATATCAGCATGGGACTTTGGTTCGGTATTATCACAATAAATGACAAATTGTTCATGACTCAGAAGGTACTTAGCTTGCAACACCCACAAATTAGCTCCACGTGATTTTAATAAGTTGATAATTTCTTTATATGTGTCATGAACTTCTTTAACTTGTTTAAATGGCTCATCACATTGTGCTCTGAAATAGATTTCACAATATAGAAAAGTTTATATATTTACACATAATACTATATAATATATTTAAACACAGATACAATGGTCTGTTCTTACACTATCTTTCGAACATGCTTCATAAGGGGCCCGGCAATTCTTTTAACAAAATTCAAGTATGAAGAATTAATTCCTTTGGTCTTGGTTGCCGGTTGAATTATCATGGCAGACGCAAGAGCATGGAATGTATCAGGAATAGTAGGATATAAATCTCTACGGAATCCTTGTTGGAACATCCATTTCTCTAAAAATATAGAACACTTTTCGAGGTAATCGTAAAGATTGGTCTGGTCACTCAAAGGATAATAGGGATATGGATTATCTTCTGGTTTAACGAGATCATCAGCATGTAAAGTAATTATACAATATGTGACACAAAAATTAATTTCTACTTCACAAGAAGACCCACTATCATGGTAAAAATTAACTATAAAATTGCCTAAATAAGGTGTTTCGGTTTTGATTTCCAATTTAACCGTAACAGTTGTATGGATTTCTTCATTGTCTTCGTCAATGTTGTGATCAATGAATGTTATTTTGAGATTAGTTTCGTCATCGAGAGAACTTCTGAATGCATCTAAATCAGATTCTGCCGCCAAATTAATAGTAATTATTTGATATATTTCTGATCCAACGTGACAAGGCGGAAATATTATTCTGTAAGTACTGGGTATCATTATTGGATTTTCTCTTTTACCAGTAAATGTCAAATTATAGTAAGGTATAGTCATATGTTTATCTAAATATAATAAGGCTGTTGTTATGAATTTGCCATGAGCTTTAGGGTGGAAATTTAAAGTGAATTGAATTGTTTTTTGTGGATTCAGGATAAATTTTATGCAATGTTCCGTCTCAACAGATTCGTCTTCTTGCTCTATCACATGTAAAGTGAAAATAGGTGCTAATTTTGAGGTTATAACCGTCCCATTTAACAGATGTTTAGAAATATTTGTTATCGAAAAATCCATTGCATTTGCTCCTTGTGGAACGTAATCAATTTCAAATTTTTGAGTAGAAAATTCTACCCATGGTAGGGTAATTACTCCAGCAATACGACAATAACAAATATCTTTGTTCACGGTCCTTAGTTTTAATTTTGGGTTATGTTGATAGTGGCTAAAAGTAAATATACGTAAATTATATATTTCGTTCTATTTTTATTAATCGAACAAAATAAAATATTAAGAGCACAGAAAGGTCATTATTAATCGCAAAAAAGAATCTATTTTACAACTTGCATGATGTACGTTATATGATATCAAAGGATTAAACTAAGTATCAAGTCATCTCTATAGAGTAAACGTTAGGTACTCACTGCTCAAATTTGCCAACATAATAATGGAACTCTGTGGACCAAGTATCGTCATTAGGAGGTCCCAATAAGCCGTTAACTTTAAAAGGAATGTACATCTCATATTCTCTACGAAATATATCACACACTTTTATGTAAACTACTTTTGAATGTCCAGCTTCAAGGCTAAATTCAGTAATTCTTTGTTTTTCATTTCCATGTGCAACATAAATATTAAACATGTTATCATCACCTGTATCCAAAACTTGAACTTCAGATCTCACTGGCCCAGAGTTTTGAAATGTGATTGGGACATAAGTGACCAAGTAGCAAGGTATACGAGACATGTAAAGAAGCTTTGGGTGTATCATAATTTTTGGTTCAATAACGTTTCCACTTACTGGCAACGTAACATTTTCTTTATTATTTATTTTAACAACTAAATCAAGTGCAAATTCCATTACACATGGTATTTTGACTATTATAATTAGAGTCTGTATAGTTTTTTGTCGAATTGTACCACTCATTGGTTCTATTCTTACACCAGGAATTAATGGTTCAATGACGTGAAAGAAAGCAACTTCTCTCGAGGCATTTTCTAGTTTTATTTTTTCTTCAACTTCCAGGTTTAATGGGATATCTTTAAACATTACAGCTTGTTGCAAAAATTTAATAGAAAGTTTTCGTGTCACCACACTTAGTTCTAATATAATTTTTTCAGTGGTTATGCTATCAGAAATCAATTGAACTTCATGAACTTTAGTTTTGGTTGGTTTGGACACGTATGTAATAGTACATATCTTACAGCTGTTACTTGGTACGCAGCCAGTGACTGGCAATATTTCAAATGGAGTATCAGGATGTATTTCTGCCCATTGGAAATTCACCGCAACATTGTAATTATTATATATACGCACAGGAACTGAGGTTATGAAACTTTCTGTTGTTACCATGCCAAACTTGATGCACTCGTCTGGTATTGTCAGTACAGGATTTCCAACTTCCATAGTGTATGGATGTTTACCAGCATAAACACCATCAATGATATAATTAACAGTACTTTTATGTATTCCTGTCGTAAGACCTTGACAAAAAACTACTAGATTAGCATCATTATATGGTTTTAATCTCATCACTATCTCCGGACATCGATTTATAGTGTATAAAATACAATCATCGGGTAGCATTTTTACAGTTATGGCATACTTTGTTTTATTCTTGATAGTTATCTCACTTTCCCCATAAGTCAACGTGGCTACTTTCCCAAAATCTATATAGTTTGGAACGAACAATATATGAAACAATTCATATGCTGATATTTTGGGTACTTTTTTTTTACAGAAGTTTTTGTCTAATTTTTGAATCTTTGATAATATATCTGAGTTGCAGTGATCCCTTCCAGTAATATGTTTTTCTACTACCTTTTGTTTCGGACCTTTTGGCCGGCAGCAGTCTATATGTTTGTCTGCTTTATATTTTCTTTCATTGTGTATTTCCAGTTCTTCGTTCATGTACGTATAACAAGGATTTTGTTCGTTCAATTTATGTAATGATTCAGCAATTACTACCTTCGGTGGTTTAGGGAATAATATATTACTGTGATTATTAATTCGGTAAGTTATATAGTTTTCATCAGGGGATGAAGTTTCACAATTTATATCAAATAGCTCATCGTGAGGATTTCTTATTTTGAAAGTAAATGATTTTGCAATATTAAAACTAGCAGGTTTTACTGATATCGTTATTTTTATAGATGAATTAGGGGGTATTGTGAATTTCATAGGGTGAAATTCAAAACACGTTAATCTCTCAATCCACATTTTAGCAGCAATTAATTTGGATTCGTTTCGTATACGTAGGTGTCTAGTAACTTTATTGTTCATTGCAATGTCACCAAAGTTCACAACTTTTGGAGAATGTGAAATTTTACATATTTCGTAATGTCCACTAATATAATATCTTCCAATTTCTGAGTGGTCTTCAAGGTTACAACATCTTACTGCATCTACTTGTATTAAACGTAGGTCAAAAACAAATCTATTGCCTAATTGCAATGTATGTTTTGCTTTGGCAATACAATCATTTTTGGGCTCAAATGTAACTTTTATGGTTGTTTCATTTTCAAGTTCTAAATTGTAGGCTCTATGATTGGCAGATAATTGGCGTGCATCATCAAATTTCTGAAACAAGAAATATTAGAGAAAAATTGATTGGTTGCCTAAAATGTGTTCGGTAGTACTTCTTCGTAGAATTTGTTGAAATTGTTCTTTTATAAAAGATGGCTAGCTATGACCTACCACTAGGCGGCCTTCGCACTTTGTTTTGAGGTATGCCGATTTGTTAAGATCTACTTCTACATCCAGAAGCTGTGTAGTGGACAGTCCAACAAATGATGGAGGGAACTCCAGCACTTTGAATCTTTGGAACACTTTGTCCGGATCATAATCAGGACATTTCGGCATGATTTTAGCACTAACTGATAGTGTTAAAATGAAAAATAAATAAAAATATTTCTGCTGTCAACTTTTTGTTGACAAATATTTACGTCAATAACTTTGAAGTATGATAAAGCGGGCAAAGACGTTGGAAAATCGCGTAACTTACTGTGGAGTTTCTGTTAAAATGAGGTCTTAAGAGAAATAAGAAAGTAGTTTCTTAGGTTAGGTCTTGACCCTTGCAGTTTTAGGCTTTAGGCAAGGACGGTGAAAACTTTAAGTATATTTTTGCCACGGTCAAGTACTGTTAATCTATTTAGCTCAAGAATTGCTGGTATTCCAACGAGATAATCTGTAAAGCTACGGATTTTTATTTTCCATATTCAGTCTCAACCTAAATATTAAAAAGTAAAAAGGAAAATATTGTTACGGATTCAGAATTTCTTTCATCACAATGACTAGATGACTAGAAACGAAGTGCCCCGCGAACGGGATAACGTGCTAGAGTAATATTGTAGATGGATGTAAGTACCCGGGGTGTGTCGTACGACTTCAGCAAATTAGTTCGGGGCGGGGGAGCCGCGCTCGCCGCCGCGCCTCCCCGCTCGCCCCAGGGTTTATCAGATTCAGGGGGTAAAAAATGACTTCTCAATGGGAGGCAGGAGGGCGGCGCGGCGCGAGAGTGCGGCGGCGAGGGGCGGGCGTGGGCGGCGCCGCCACGTGGCTCCGGCTTTCGGCTGCGTCGCGACGCCCGCTGCAGCCGCTCCTTGCACGCGTTCGGGAGTCCGGGACCATGCACAGGTGTTCGTTTAAGTGTGTTGTTTACGCGGCTCGGGATGCTAAGGCGTGAAGGCGTTGGATGTTTACAGTGTGTTTATGGGACATAGTGAGGGGTTGATGGAGGCTGAGTACAGCGAGGTGGTCGCGGGTTGCGAGGCGCGGCGCGACGCTCCCATGGACGCTACGCTCGACACCATGCACCCGTTGGACCCGCCGCCGCCCGATGTTCTGCTGGCTCTGCTCGCCAGGAACAAGGCGCTCGAAGGTAGACTTCTCCGTTGAATTTACCCAATAACCTGTCTCCTGATGTTACAGGTTGGAATCTGGATTAGTATATGGCAGCAATCATATACTTATTGTTGACGACTTCTATAGATAACTTCATTATAGTCGTCACAAAATAATTATAAAATATTATTGACCTATTTTGTGTGAGTACAGAATGTGGGCGTAGTAAAGTAGAGGACATTCTTTTAAATCATACTTATTTTAATGAATTGATGAGTAAGTGTTCTACTGCACTCTATTCATTAATCGCATGAACCTAAACCTACAATTATTTAATACTGCGTACTAGGTAAAAAACAAAATTAAATAATATTTTATTACCAATAGTCTTTACGACAGGCAATAAGGAAACAATAATTTAAGTAATTAAGCAAAAACTTAATTACAATAAATACGATTCGTTTATAAATTATGAAATTGTAAAAATGCAAATACACTTTAATACTACTTATAAGATACCTACATTTTGTCAAAAAGTTTTAAATGATTGTACTTAATTAGTCAATTAGAAAGAATTAAAGTTACCTACATATTTAAATTGACTGTTTAGTCTTATACTGAAAATACATAATAATATAATGTATTTGTCTTTATTGTAAACTAGCTGTGCCCGCGACTTCGTCCGCGTGGAATAGATTCACAGTTCCTCCCCCATAGGTAATAGAGTGATAATATGTAGCTTATATGTGGACCCGACCTATTAGTAATGTCCATGCAAAATTTGAAGTGAATCTATACAGTACTTTTTGAATTTAGCCCGAACACACATACAGACAAACAAACAAACAGACAAAAATTCTAAAAACCATATTGCTAGCTTCGGTATCGATTGTAGATCACTCACTACACATTCTTTTAAAATAATGTTCAATGTACAGTTTAACTTTCCTACAAATTTATTATATATGTACAGATAGATTGACAAAATTGAAATATCGTCAGTGATAGAAAGAACTGCTATGTTGTATGAGTTTCAGAATAAAAGGCTGCAAAAAATATCGCCGCGTCCAGTTGCACTTCTTTAAGTTGCCTTTGAATATAAATTTCTTCACGTTGATAGGCTTTGGTCATCAATAGACCCTCTTTGAACTATAGGTATTTTGTATAAGGACCATCTTTACTAAGCTTTGTTTCTATTTTTACAGTTTTAGTAAGTACTTAAATACGATTGATTTCGATTTAGCAATATTAATGAATCTTCTCATTCTTGCTCTTGTCTGTTTTCTTCTTTCCATAGTATGAATGTATATTAGATGTGCGAATAACATGAAACATATAACATATGCGCAAATAACTTGTGAAATAATCTATATATATAAAAGAAAGTCGTGTTAGTTACACCACTTATAACTCAAGACCGGCAGAATAGATTTGGCTGAAAATTGGTAGGGAGGTAGCTTGGAGCCAGGAGACCGACATAGGATAATTTTTAACCAATACTTTTTTTTAACTTTTTACCGAAAATCACGAACGTGGACGGGAAAAAATGGAATTACGCGTACGAAGTCGCGGGCAGAAGCTAGTGTTTTATAAAGAATATACTGATTTTAAGTGAGTGAAATAAAGGGTTTACTTAATTTGATTCTTCTTATTTCTCCTTCAACATCAACAGCCTATAAGTGGTCACTGTTGATTTCACATTGACAAGTTAATTAATTTAATTTTACATACTTAAAATTACATATAACATAACATCGCGCCTTTTATATCCGAAGGGGTAGGCAGAGGTGCACATTATGCCACTGTACAATATAACACCCACTTTTCACTATTTATGTTATGAATCCCATGTCCATATATTTAGGCATATTCTTGCATAATTGTTAAATCGATCTTTTACTACCATAGTAAGTTTATGAATAGCAAATAAGTAGTTCTTTCAGTGACAGTGGGTATGCGACATAATAATTTTCAACTGGGTCACACATTACTGAAAAGCTATTGATAATGGCTGATTCTGAAACCAGTGACACCACAGATAAGAACAACGACACGTGATGCGTAGCATGATATAATTAAATGTCTAAAAAGAAGTCAAGTTCAATTTCAATTTCAATTTCAGCACTTTCTTTTTTAAAAAATTTCAATTGTTGCTGGAAATTTAACGGAGAATCGACAGTCAGTAAACACAATAAAATTCTACCTTCAGTTAAGCTGTGTACTTAGTTGTCATTCACGATCACGATGCGATCATTTGCTGCATATTTACAAAAGGTTTGCTGTAATTCTTAATTGCCAAAAGCTGACACATTTTTTTCCTATTTACTGATTTTTTTTCTTGTATATTTTAATAATAATTGCTTCGTAGACTGAGTGGTGCCAAGTGCGACGGCAAGGATTCTTGGATTTGGTTCCCGGGTCGGGCAAAGTTTTACTGGGTTTTGAAAAATTGATAGTAGAAGCACGGAGTCTGGAATTGTGCCCGGTTATGGAAATAGGCTCACCCCCTACTTCATGGAACTCATTGTTATTAGTTGTGTTTAAATAGTCATCTATGTTTAAATAGTGAAAACTAAAACCATTATACATTGTCTCAGTGCCGTAATGTGCACCTCTGCCTACCCCATCGAGAATAAAAGCCGTGACGTTACGTATGTCTATGTATGTATCATATAAATGCTGTAATTTTATCGGAAGAACATCAATTGATATATCGACACCAAAAAGAAGCAACAAATAAGGATAAAACGTAAAAGATTTGTAAAAATAAAAGTGCTCATACTCTATGCTCAGTCGTATAATTATGAGTCTATGGTCACGTGTTAGGGTTTTACTGAAGGACGTGGCACGCGTAGGGGCGGCCTTCCTTCCTATAGGTTTTCACCCACGCACACCATATGATTCGAATAATCAAGTTAAGTGCTCCACACAGGAGTGGCGATGGACTTTTTTGATTTTAACACCAGACAAGAGCGTAGTACATTGTACTCTAACTACTACGTCGAGTATGCTGATAATGCGTCAATTAGTAAATTGACGAACGCCTGTTTGTTTGTGTATGTAGCTGTTTTGTTTTTTTTAAGTGATGAAATGATACATTCAGGAAGTGCTTGTATTCTACATTAATGTTGACTTGGATATGTTCTTAACAAAAGTAATGAAAATTTGTGTACCTATATTTATGCTATGTTTTAAAAATAACTTTAGATTCGATTATTTTTTTATCTGAACTAAACTAATACATGTGTGTATCTATATAGATAATTTGTGCCATTTTCGAAAACGCTGACTCATTATTTTTTACACCAAAATGCAAAAATTAGTTTTATTGATTCTAGACCATCATTATCTATCATTTTGATTGTGATTAAAAATACCATATCACAGAAAAAAAGTTTCCAGATAACTGACAATCTAAATGAGGACTGTGGTCGTGGACGTGGTGGCCCGGCGGTATAAGACGCCCGCTTCTCATGCGTTCGTTGGTAGGTTCGCAACCCACCAACTTCAAGTAGGTACCAATTTTTCCGAGTCATATGTACTTCCTAAAGATTATTACCACTCATAAACGGTGAAGGAAAACATCGTGAGGAAACATGGGCTTATAATTTCTAATTCTAAATTTGAAGTCGCCAACCCGCTTTGAGACAGCGTGGTGATTAATGCTCAAACCGTATCCGTGTGAGAAGAGGCTTCGCTCAGCAGTGGCCATTATATAGGTTGTTGACAGTGGCGTGCACAGGTTTTCGAGACAGGGTAGGCAACTAAATATCGTATGATTAAACCCCTCTCCCCCCGCCGGTCATACAATCATGCTCACACAAGATAGGTACATGTACATAATACATTTCGAAAAGTGCGTTCAAGAATATTGTGGTGTATTCTTTCGCCAAATTACATACACTGACAACTCGCGTATTTTTTGTGAAGTACTTCATCAGCTATTGAATAAGCCAACAAAACTTACAAATAATGAAGGATCTATTATTTATTTTAATAATAAGGCATAAATTTGATGAACCAAATTTCATTATGGAATTGTTTAGTTTAATCAATCTGTTCAAAATCATAATATATTACGAATTTAAGAGCATAGGTAGGTACCTATGCTCAAATTCGTAATATATTATGATTTTGTAGGTTACATTATGTCAACAAACAAAACAATAACAAGCGCGGCCGGCTGTGGCCGAGCCGGCCGAGTCTATGCGGTACATATGTTATTACTACATTACATAATTATTAATAATAAATTAATATGTGAATCAGTACAACCCGAAGTCTAAGTTGATATTTTTAAGAATTATCAAACAATAAACAAGAAAGTCAAATAAAAGATCCATTATAGTACATATTTACATTACCTACCTTTTACTTGGGTCAATTCTCGTAACTCGAGTACACCTCTGCCTATGGTCTTTACCTGAATCTAGTCCGATAAAGGACATTTTCTTGCGAAATCTTACTGTTTTTACTTTCAACAAACACATAAAATTACCTATTATTCACACACACTTCACAATCGAATAATATAGGTACTTGTACTAGAAACTGATAAACAAATACACTATTTGAAAAACCTACACATATATTTAACTACTACTACACATTTATGCAACTTTATGTTTAAAACTAATTCCTAATAATTTAAACGAAAACATAAACAAAGCGATCGCACATCACATGAAAACAATATGGCCGAAAACATTGGAAACGAATTGAAGTCATTACCAATAGTCAATTGAGTGTTTATTATAAAAAAATGTAGCTTAAAAATTAAGGTAATGCAGCGTTTAATTTAAAAAAAACAAAGGTTAATTTAGTAAGTCAAATGAAATTGCATCATCGTCTTAAACCAATATTTCATACTAAAAAACATTCATTCATATAATTTGAAACGTTGTAAATGGCGCCATCTTGAAGTTTCAATAACTTCCTTTTAACTTTTATAATAATAAAGTCAACTCCTCGTTTAAAATTTCTATAAACCGACAACGCGTAAAAATGTTAAGCTTTAATTAAAACACTTGAAACATA